CCCCCCCCCCCCCCAAATGAGCCTCACTCCCCCTGCACCTGGACCACCCTGGCTAGCCACCCGCACCTGGATCCACACCCTACCGAGCCCCAGCCAGCTGCACCTGGATCCCCACGCCACTGAGCCCCACTCCCCCAGCATCTGGATCCCCCCACCAAAGCCCTCCTGCCGAGCTCTATCTTCCCACACTCAGGACCCCCCCGCTGAACTCCAACCACCTTCACTTGGACCCCCCTGCAGAGTCCAATTACCATTGCACCCAGAAACCCTCCATCAAGCCTCTGTGCATCCAGATTGCCCCATATAGAACCCTCTCAACCCACACCTGGATACCCCCACACTAAGCCCCTCCACACTTGGATCCTGCCTTGCTGAGCCTGCTTGCCCACACCTGGTGCACCTGGCATGGAGGGGCAGGGCCCTGGGGTGTTTCTGGGGTAGGCCCTGTTCTTGCGCTGTGTCAGGGTTGGGTGCAGCCTCATCGCTGAGTCCATGTGCCGGAGGGGAGCTAAACAGTGATCTCTCACCTCTGTGCAGCCAGTGGCCTGTGCTCCCCAATGCCGTGCTGGAGCCTTCACATATATTTGACAAATAAAAATTCTGTGCACAATATTTTAAAATTCTGCACATTTTAATTATTTTGGTGCAGAATGCCCTCTGAAGTATTCTTTGTTCAGTTATATACATTACTGGCCAGTTGAACAATAATTATGTTGTATGCATATTTTTATCTTTCTAGAGAGAGAGACAAACTCAGAGAGAGAATGCCTTGGAACTCACAGAAAAACTTGACACTGACTGGAAAGAAATCCAAACCCTTCTCTCCCACAAAACCCCCAAGTCAGAGAGGAAAGATAAAGAAGAGGAGAAACCCAAGGTAAGGTTTTGGCAATACATCTTTGTTTTCTTACAACTGATTTGACTTCATTACTGGAACCAAAGTAGTGATTGCGAGTTGATCACTAGTTATTTGTAGCTGATCATTTCTAATTAAAATATTAAAAATAAACGCCCTGTGTTTTAGTTAAATTGAAAGAATTTTACAGTCTTTGAGGGAGTTTCATGTCAGAATAGTGAGGTTGGAAGGATCTTAAGGAGATACTAATTTTAGAGAAATAAAAGGATTCATATTAAGTATTTTAAGACTTATACTCCCAGTAAGTCCATCATAATTATGGCTTCCCTTTGTTCTTTTTCATTAGCTGTTGAATTTGAGAGAGATTCCTTGTTGGATAAAAATGTGAACAATATTCTGGTTTATTTTTAAGACAAACATTTTCCTGACGAGTTAGCATTTTTTCATAGATTCTAGGACTGGAAGGGACATCGAGAGGTCATCGAGTCCAGTCCCCTGCCCGCATGGCAGGACCAAATACTGTCTAGACCATCCCTGACCTACTCTTAAATATCTCCAGAGATGGAGATTCCACAACCTCCGTAGGCAATTTATCCCAGTGTTTAACCACCCTGACAGTTAGGAACTTTTTCCTAATGTCCAACCTAAACCTCCCTTGCTGCAGTTTAAGCCCATTGCTTCTTGCTCTATCCTTAGAGGCCAAGGTGAACAAGTTTTCTCCCTCCTCCTTATGACACCCTTTTAGATATCTGAAAACTGCTATCATGTCCCCTCTCAGTCTTCTCTTTTCCAAACTAAACAAACCCAATTCTTTCAGCCTTCCTCCATAGGTCATGTTCTCAAGACCTTTAATCATTCCTGTTGCTCTTCTCTGGACCCTCTCCAATTTCTCCACATCTTTCTTGAAATGCGGTGCCCAGAACTGGACACAATACTCCAGCTGAGGCCTACCCAGAGCAGAGTAGAGCGGAAGAATGACTTCTCGTGTCTTGCTCACAACACACCTGTTAATACATCCCAGAATCACGTTTGCTTTTTTTGCAACAGCATCACACTGTTGACTCATATTTAGCTTGTGGTCCACTATAACCCCTAGATCCCTTTCTGCCGTACTCCTTCCTAGACAGTCTCTTCCCATTCTGTACGTGTGAAACTGATTTTTCCTTCCTAAGTGGAGCACTTTGCATTTGTCTTTGTTAAACTTCATCCTGTTTACCTCAGACCATTTCTCCAATTTGTCCAG